TCTTTTTTTGGCTGAATAATTCAAAGGTTTTTTCAGTGATCTTCACGAATATGATGTCAAGATGGCTAAACGTCTTATCTGGAAACCTGGAAAAAACTGTCTTTTTTAGATATTTAACATTTTATAGGATGGACAATTATGCTGTTACACGATTTGGACGATTTTGCTGTTACAACCGGTATATTTTCTGATGACATCTAATCCGACTGATTAACTGAGTCATTTTAACATCTGTCTATATTTCTGAGATGAAGTATTGTAGCTATTTACACATGGCACAGTGGATAAAAGAGTTGGTTGAAGCAATCCAATGACTTACCCCAAAGCCTTGTGAGTTCGATATCTGGCCACAGCAGAGATGAAGAAAAACTTGAAGAGTTGGGTTACTAAAGGGAAATAACTGAAGCTGAGATATTCGGAAAAGGCACGTGGAAGTAGAAGAATCTACGACAGGGAACGAAATAAAGGTTTTGATTCAAAATTCCAATGAATATCACCTGAAGAAGGCCAGAGCGTACAACATCCGAAACGTCGTGAATATGGCAATAAAGATGAGGACAACAGTCTGATCAATGTAAATAGTGTAAGTAGCTACAATACTTTGTTTTGTTTAACGGCATTCCAACCTTAGTGGTCATTTTATGTTGAAAATGATTTTGGTATAGCTGGAAACATTATTTTTTTTTTTCAAAAACGTATAGCTGGCAACATTATTTTTTCAAAAATGTGTAGCGGGCAACATTTTTTTTTTAAACGTATAACTGGCAACATTATTATTATTTTTTTTTTAAATCCTTTCACAGTGTTTTGACCCCAGTTACAATTCCATTGAATAAGATTTTGTTAAAAGACATATAGCTGGTAATATTTTTCTTTTTTTAAACGTATAGCTGGGAATATTATTTTTCAAAAAAGTAGAGCTGGTAAAATTATTTTTCCAAAAATTTATGGCTGATAATATAATTTTTTCAAAAACGTATAGCTGGTAATATTTTTCAAAAACACACTGATGGCAATATTATTCCTTCGAAAACGTATAGCTGGTAATACTACTTTTCCAAAAGCGTATAGCCGACAACCTTAATTTTTCAAAAACGGCCTTTCTGTTGGACTTAGTTTATCGCCATACCCAACATGTGGATGTAGTTTATCGCCATACCCAACATGTGGATGTAGTTTATCGCCATACCCAACATGTGGATGTAGTTTATCGCCATACACAACTTGTGGATGTAGTTTATCGCCTACCCAACATGTGAATGTAGTTTATCGTCATACCCATACAATACTTCGTCTCAGAAATATAGACTGCTGTCCTCATCTTTATTGTCATATTCACGATATTTCGGCCGTTGTACTCTCCGGCCTCTTTTTCATGGCCCAGTAAATAAAAGCGTTGGTTGAAATAAGAGCCAAAGGGTTTTGAGTTCAATACCTGGCCACAGCAGAGTTGAACAAAAGCTTGAAGAGTTGAGTAACTAAAGCGAAATAACTGTAACTGAGATACTCAGAAAAGGCATGGAACGTGGAACTAGAACAGTCTACCCAGGTGAACTAAATAAAGGGTTCCGATCGAAATTCCAACTGAAGAAGGCCGGAGCGTACAACATCCGAAACGTCGTAAATATGACAATTATGATGAGGACAATAGTCCGAATAGTGTAAGTGAGTCATTATAATCTACGGCGTGAAATTGTCATTTAAAAAAATATATTATTTTAATTTATTTTTCTATTAAGGAGTAAAATCTTCTTGCATTACAAGCGTTTCTGAAAATGCAATGTTTTATGAGAGTAGATTATCTACATAGTTTTAACTTGCTCGAATCAAAATACTTCTTTTATGTGACGTGTCCGTTTCGGACGTTGGCAATCCCGGTTCTCTAAAAACTTCCTGTCCTTGTACCTCTAAGCAATCTTTGTCTATTTATATCCCACCCAGTCTCTCTTGATAGATAGATAGATAGATAGATAGATAGATAGATAGATAGATAGATAGATAGATAGGAACAGAGTAAGATAAATAGGTAGAAACAATCTATCTCTAGGAATAGAGTAATATAGATAGATAGATAGATAGATAGATAGATAGATAGATAGATAGATAGAAACAGAGTAAGATAGATAGATAGATAGATAGATAGATAGATAGATAGATATGAACAGACTAAGATAGATACATAAATATGAACAGACTAAGATAGATAGATAGATAAATAGATATGAACAGACTATGATAGATATGAACAGACTAAGATATATATATAAATATGAACAGATTAAGATAGATAGATATGAACAGAGTACGATAGATAGACAGATACGAACAGACTAAGATAGATAGATAGATAGATATGTACATACTAAGATAGATACATAAATATGAACAGACTAAGATCGATATGAACATACTAAGATAGATACATAAATATGAACAGACTAAGATAGATAGATAGATAGATATGAACATACTAAGATAGATACATAAATATGAACAGATTAAGTAGATAGATAGATAAATAGATAGATAGATAGATAGATAGATAGATAGATAGAAGTGTTAATAGAATTTCATACGGATTTGATTTTAGGATTTTATATTTATTTTTTTCTTGCAAAACAATCCTTCCCTACCAAATGCACTATATCTTGCTGCTTCCTCTCAATGACACCAGCGTCTCCAAGCGCTTGTGGGTGACGAGCAAATATTCACCCTTCAACTTCTCTCCCACAGGCTGTATGTAGCAAGCCACTCACTGCTCTACCGCTACTTCCATGTAAAGTTCTCGAACGAACAACATACCCTGATCCCGCCGAGGCAGATCTTCACAGCAACAACACGCCGTGCCATTGAAATAATAGAAAAAGACCTACATTCCCTCCCTATTCCATCTATGAGATTTAAGTTCCAGCAGCTTCTTCCCGCGAACTCTATGGAGCCGACACCCAACAGGATGTTTCCCCTATTACTAGAAACTTGTTCAAGACTAGGGTTAACCGTTATCCTTCACTCCTATATAGACAAATGGCCTCCAAAGGGGCCTTGTAAAGGGTGAACTATGTTCTAAAAAATTGCGATGACTATTATCTATTTTTCCTGAATATATTCACTCTGTATCTAGTTAACAAACCTGGAGGCAGTCCTAATTTTTTGAATATTAAAATATTTTTTTTCTTCCAATGGTTTAATCCATTTTTCTCTCAACAGTTTTTATTCAGCTGTTCTCGTTTTCTATTATTATTTTCTTTGTCCCCATTACTTAAATAAGATTGTATATTGTCTGAATGTATGGAGGCACGGTGGAGTAATGGATAGCCGATCGGATTGTGGAATCGGAGAGTCGAGTTCGAATTCCAGTCGAAACCATTGCATTCACTTACGTGCTAATACCCTTGGGAAAGGTATGAATACTCCTCTTCTTCTCCCCCATCTATGAGTAAGTAGCAGGACAGACCGGGTTCTATAGCTTTGGATGGCAACTGATCTACCACAGAAAAAAAAATGGCAATTTACTGCAGGAAAAAGATCTCGTCAGTCATGCATCGAAAGTCACGAATGGCACATAATTGACTGACTGATATAACGTCCGAAGACACGTGTTTCAGTGTAATGGATAGCGAATCGGATTGAGGAATCGGAGAGCCGAGTTCGAATTCCAGTCGAAACCATTGCCTTCACTTACGTGCTAACGCCCTTGGGAAAGGTATGGGTAAATAGCAGGACAGACTGGGTTCTATAGCCTTGGATGGCAACTGGTCTAGGAGAAGGACAACTCTGAATTCAAAACCTTAGGAGACACAGTGGATATTAGGAGCTGGAGTAATGGATAGCGACTTGGATTGAGGTAACAAAGAGCCGAGTTCGAATTCCAGTCGAATCTATTAAAGTCATTTACATGCTAACACCTTGGGAATGGTATGGATCCTCTTCTTCTACCCCCATCTATGGGTAAATAGCAGGACAGACCGGGTTCTATAGCCTTAGATGGCAACTGGTCTACGGCAGAAAGAAATGGCAACCTACTGCAGGAAAAAATCTGCTTTATCAGTCATATATCGAAAGATACATGATCGCCTATACGTGTATCACGCATGGCACATAACTGACTGATGGAGTAAGGAAATTTCAGTTCAGTTATTTCTGCATAATGTCTCTTTAATTTTAGTTTAGTTTAAAATTCTATTTTGTCTTTGTTCAGCTTTCATTTTTTATCGTCTGTTGTCTTAGAAATGCAACCATTTCCTTTATTTATTTATAATTTTCTAATTCACGTTCTTTCTTTTCTTTTCTTCCTTCTGTTTTCCTTCTATTTTGAATTTTGATAAATGCTGCTTTTTGGTTTGTTTTTATAATGCCTAGCAATTCTCTTGCATTTACACTTGGATATATGATAGTTTAAGATCCAGATCAAATTGAATGGGGCTTGAAATCTGAGCTGTTAGACAATCAATTGGAAAATAGGTTTTTCCCCACAACTGAACGGCCCGAAAAGTGATTAGAAAAACGAAAATAAAGTAGAAAATCAAGAGAAAGAAATTAAATGGCGGGCTTTCCTTATGAATAAATCTGTTCTTTCTCTAACTTTTTTTTTTTAGGTTCCTTTTTTATAAGCCCTCGTAATATGTATTTTTTCGTCGTTTTTGCTTTTGCTTTTTCTTCTACTTGTTCGTCTTCTTCTTCTTCTTCTACTTGTTGTTGTTGTTCTTCTTAGTATTATTATTGTATACGCATATCATTATTTTATTTCTCTAATCCCAAATTATTCTCTTTCTTCTACACCCTTTATTTTCGTTTTTTTTTCTTTTACAGTCTTCCCGACTTCCCTGATTTATTCACTCCTCCATTTTCTTTTTAACAATTTCCTCCTTTCTTTCCGTTATTTTTTATTTCTTTGTTCTTCGTTTTCTTTATTTTCTCTTTATTTCTGTCTCCAATCCACTTGCCAGTCCTAACTAATTGTCTTACTGACATAGTAATGTGTCTCAAACCGAACAGCTGCCAGCGAGCATATGGCGATAACATTTCATTAGATTTAAACTAACATTTGGAATGAATGAAAACAGTAAAAATAAGCGAAAAAGAAATGTCTATACCAAATCAAGTGTTTTAAATTGATTTGTAAAAACGACAGAGTGTGTGCGTGTGTGGAACAAAAAAATTCTCAACATTGAAAAAAAAAAGAACAAAAAAGAAATAAAATATATTTTAAAGCTTTCAGGAATGAACTTAGATTGATCACATGTTTTTTTTGTTTTTTTTTAAATCACCAAATAGATACACAGGCCTTTCATTTAACAGTCCAGCAATCTATCTGCGGTGATGTGTGTCGTGTAATAAGAATCCACGTTTCCACTGACAGCCATGCAGAAACAAATAACACTTAACAAATTTATTCTATTCGCAGAAACCTTCACAGCTGGCCTCTTTATGCATGCGCGCACACAAACTGATTTACGGTCAGCCATTTTTTATTTTGCTTCGGGTGCACATTAAGCGAAACGTATAGAGGTGCAATTCGATTAATGTTCGTAAATTTATTCTTCTATACACTTATTCTTCGATATTCTCTTTCTTTCCTCACTTTTGCCACTGCAAATTCTTCTTAGTCTTGTAGTTGGAGATAAGGTGAATAAAACTCAAATCCTTTCGTTATTATTGCATCAGCTTTTGCGATGGAGTTCTTTTAAAACCAGCATTTTAACTGCGATGCGCGTATTAGAAGCTATGTGACTTATGTGTCCGTATGTTCAATTCTTGGGGGTGGCACATGATGAATCCTATTAAATAAAAATATAAAATAAAAAAAGTAATAAGTTGTAATAATAATAATAATAATAATAATAATAATTAGAGCTTCGGTTTGTTTGGAAAAGGTTCCGATAGACTCATTGAAGGGATTCCTGGTAGCCCATGCCTTAAAAGAAATACAAAAAATTGTACTCATAGGTACAGCTCACACATTACGAAGAGATTTATGTATGTAAAATGTGTGAGTTTTTTTTGTTTGTTTTTTGTTTTTTTTTGTTGTTGTTGTTTTTTTTTTTTTTTTTTTGCTTTTTTGCTTATTTTTTTACAAAGATGCTCAGTGGAAAGTGTCATGAATTCATTTCTGACCTTAGGTCTCTTATTGAGACCCGGAAGGAAATGTGTATACAACAGAAATCAAAGAAAATGCATGACCAATGACCATTGCCATCTCAGGATCCTGGTGTTGACAGGAATCTGATCCGACGATGGTTGAGGTACTCTGGACTACGCTCAGAAACCGAGATATCCATTCTGGTTGCTCAATAATAACATCTACCAACACGACCCTGGTTTTGTTGGGAATCTGACCCGTCGATGGTTGAGGGGATCTGAACTGTGTCCGGAAATCGAGACATCTATTCTAATTGCTCAATGTTAACACTAACCAACAAGATCCTACCTGGCACACGTTTTAAAGAATAAGATCATATATATATATATATATATATATATATATATATATATATATATATATATATATATGTGTGTGAAAATTTCTCCGATTTAATCGATAGAAGACAATATTTATGAATAAAAAATGACAATAGGAAAACTGGTAATTGCTGACGCGTTTCGTCCAATGTGGACTTTATCAAAAGCAAATTTTTTTTTTTCGTATTTTGCTTTGATAAAGTCCACATTGGACGAAACGCGTCAGCAATTACCAGTTTTCCTATTGTCATTTTTATTCATATATATATATGTATGTATGTATGTATCTGAACAAAGGAAAGGAAACTATTGATCGTTGGTTCTGGCCTATCCCCAAATGAATTGAGATATGTGCCTAACAAGGTAGGGAAATATCTACATTAGTGGATGTGCCAACACAACAGAATTTTGATAGGGTCATATGTCACTGCCACGGTTGAAAGTTGAAATTCTTCCTGCTCTGAGACTTCATAATGCTTACCGAGCCTGCTAAACAGAAAAATAGACCGTGATATAATAATAAAAGACTTGGAAAAGACCAGTGCTATGTTAGAGACATAACCATTTCGAATGAATTTAGCAAATTTTCAAATTATAAGGACGTCGAAATAGAAATTGTATGAATATGGCATTTAAACATAACCACTACTTTAATTATAATAGGAACACCAGGAATAATTAAAAAAATATTGTTACAAGTATAAATTAAATTTCAGCATATCCTTGAATATCTGAGATACAAAAGATTGTACTCATGTTCATCGCTCTCCTATTCAGAAAGATTTCTCAGCGTAATAGGCTTAATAACTAAGAAATCTTCCTTTACCTCTAGTCTTGAATAATAGGGAAAAAGATTGTATCAAACAGCAAATCAAGCCAAATTGAAAATAATAATAATAATAATAATAATAATAATAATAATAATAATAATATCGCTAAGATTAATGTTAGGCAAGCTTTTACAAAATCCCCAAAATGGAAATACCCAGAAAATGACAAGTTATCCAACTTTTCGCTCTATCATCTCTAATCAATTCATAAAACTCTTGCACAAACTTTATCAATGCTCATTAATAAACCTTATAAAATTCTAGAATGGATCACAGAAGGTATTAGATATCCCCGACCAAAAATGTGTGAAACAAATGAGCCAAAAAATTATAGGCCAATAACATGTCTGCCCACCACATATAAATTAATCATGTCTGTCCTAACGAATTTTACTTAATCTTTTCTCGAAGAAAACAACATTCTTCCTCTGGAACAGGAGGGATGTCGAATAGGTTCAAATGGTTTCAAAGATCAACTACTAATAAATGAATTAATCCTGGGAAATTGTAGGAAAATGGTAGAAATCTCAGCACAGTTTGGATTGATTACCGTTAAGCCTTTGATAGTGTGCCACACTATTGGACCTTTAAGAATTTGAAAATGTACAATAATAATAATGTGGAGAGTCAAGCCACTTCCCAGTTACCATTGGTGTGTTGGGGTTTAGGCCACTGAACTTAATGTCCTACATAAAGAAATTCAGAATAAAACCTTGTATCCCGTCTGAGTTGCGTGGCGCCGCAAATATTCTTCGAAGGATGCTCTCTGAGATTCAACGTCATGATGGAGAACACCCATCATGCAAGATCTTTGTTTGTAAACGAAAAACTGGATAAAAGAAGAAAGTGTAATAATAACCTTCCGTAACCTGGTAATACTAACTGGATCATGTGGTGAAGAAAGCAACGTGAATTGTGGTTCATGAGTAAAATGGTGGGAAAAAAACGATGGCTCTTTGAATTTGGGGTTTATATAACTAAAGTCGCGTAACTGCTCCAGAGGCAGTGATTGGTCCTTCCTTTAGCCATTCAGCATCTTCATTTTAAGCAGTGAAAATGCATAAGAATATGCGCTTATTTTTATACATTAAGCAAAGATATTCGACAAACTACGGTACAAGGATCTATTTTAATTGCTTGGTAAACTAGATCTATCTGGAAAAGATGTTAGAATAATCCAGAACTTACACTGAGAGCAAACCGCCTTCATTCGGATAGAAAATAGAGTAGCTATACAAAAATATTACGTGTCATAAGACAAGGATGTGTCTTCTCACCAGATTTATTCAACATCTACAGTGACGCTCTCCTAAGGGAACTGGATTTATTATCAGTGAGCATGACTTTAACAATATAAGATACACAGATGACAATGTGTTGATGGCTGACTCGGAAATAAAACTACAGGACCTCTTAGGCAGGGTAGTTGAAGAAAGCAAGAAAAAAGGACTAACTATCAACTACAAAAAGACAGAAAGTATGGTCATCAGTAAGAAGAAAAGCCCAAGATGCGAATTGCAAATTAGAGATGTCAACATCAAGCAGGTGCAGAAGTTTAAATATTTGGGAAGTGTTTCAAAGGATGATGGTAAATGTGACACCGAGATCCGAAGTACGAAAAAAGCATTCCAAAAGCTAAGCAAAGTGCTAAGAAACGGAAAGTTATCGTTTGAAACAAAGAAAAAATGCTAGATTGCTATATGGTATCCATCAGTTTTATATGACAGTGAATATTGGACAATCTCCCCAAGGATGAAGAAAAAACTCGAGGCAGCAGAAATGTGGTTCTACAGAAAGATGCTGAGAATTCCGTAGACGGAGCGAGTAAGCAACAAGGAAGTCTTAAAGAAAATGGCAACAGAAAGAACACTTCTACTAAGAATCAGGAAAATACAGCTGAAATTCCTTGAACGCATAATGAAAATGTAAGGCTTAGAAAACTTACCATTCACGGGGCACATTGAGGACAAGAGAGATAGAAGGCAGTGAGCCACTTAGCTGACGAGAATGGATGTGGATGAATGACGGAATGATAGGCAGGGTCTTAGCAAAAGGAGAAAACTGCTAATAGTCACAAGTGATAGGAAGTTGCGGAGAGCCATGATCGCCTATGTCCTGAAGCGACGCGGCACATAGAAGATGAATTATTCTAAATTCCAATACTGTAGCCAAACAACAAAACCGCTTTCTCTGCCTGAATAAGACTTAAGATAAAATATATTTTTTGTTAAATGTTAGAGCTTAGAACAACGTATTAGGATCTTTGAATGGCCCTGAGTCTTTCTGAGCCTAAAAAGATGTGGTCAAAAAAAAAAAAAAAAGAAAAAAAAAAAAAAACTTGGTACTTATAGTTCTTTCTGAAAAGATCCTGAAAAATATATATATATATATATATATATATATATATATATATATATATATATATATATATATATATATATATATATATATATAATCCTGGCGAAGAATGTTTGCAAATGAACAGCAGAATCTTTTTCAATAGTGTGCTAATTAGACTCACCTGGTGACGGTAACTTACGTCTGAACTCGAACCATTCACATAGTTTCTATCTGTTCAGGCAGCAAACTTAAAAATTCCGCCATGAGCAAGAAATAGAAAGTGCATTTTTGTTTGAAACGCTGTGCACCAGAGATTAAACTTAAAGACACGCACAAAAACAACAATGAAGGAATTACTGTTCACATAAATAAGAAATTAT